TCCTGGACTCCTTGAATGTCTGTACAAAACTTTTATGGGAATCCACCTTGTTAATGATGAGTGTGAAAACTTTGACCTGCTAGTGATGCTAGATGAAGAGTTTGGGGGATTACCAAAGTCAGTAGGATTCATCCTCTGGGGACCATGAATGTCTGTACAATTTCATGGCTATTCATCCAGTAGTTGAGATATTTCAGTCTGGACCAAAGTGGTGGACCGACCAACAGACAGACAGACATATCCATCAACAGAGCTGTGACACTAAGATGGATAAAATGCCCTATTTCACTACCACAATACAAAGTCCTTTGGTTCAGACAAGGAAACAGATTTGTCTGAAAAAAAGAAACAGAAACCAGTGGTGGCATAGCAACTGTAACCCAAGCAACGGTCACCCAAGCAACTTACTACAGATACTGCCCTGTCTCTGGTTTGTTTTTTCAGAGTGGTCACATGTTGTGTCACGGCACTTTGGTATTGGTATTGGACACGTGTCAGTTAAGTGTCACTCGTCAAAGTGGGACATTGATCCGCATCACTTCTCTAACAGTCTCAGAGGCCATGTGCTGGTGGGTGCATGAGGTGGAATTTGTCTGTCTGTCTGTTTGTGTAAAGCTCTTACTAGCCGCTGCTGGCCGCACTGCCAATCCCTCTTTTAAGCTGAGCGCTCCATTGACTTTCCACCGCTGGAGGGGGAGAAAGAGATGCAGTTGTTTTGACGGAGAGACTGAATAACAGATTGGAATGTATTCCCTGTGATCCCAGGACCTCTGTGGAAGATCTGAATGTACCGTAGAGCTGTAGAGGCTGCATGGCCAAGTCTGTGGTATTAACATTCACTGAGGTCACGATATTCTCATATTTCATTCATCATCAGTCCTAGAATCATTCACATTGAAGCTGCACATGGTTTTAGAGGTGACATAAGATAGATAGAGAAGATAGATGCAGTCTGTACTTCACAGAGCTGACCTCTTGTTTTTGTAGTTTATGGCCTCATGATGTAGTCTCCAAAGTTGATGGCAACAGACTGCATACACTTGAGTTTCAGCAGACGAACCCACCAGCAGCACACTGTGTATGGGTAAAACAGCTCACTGTCCTTTTGAGGTACAAGCTCAGGCTCAGTTGCTGGACTGTGCATAATATTGATAACCCAATTTATGATATTCTGTGTCTCTCTTTGTTATTCATGTTCCCCATCTGTTCTGCTCTTTTAGTTTGCAGGTAGAGGTCAAAGGAGCCAGAATATCTTGACCAAATTTATCTTAAAGCCTTGTACTTCCATTTCAATTTAAAATTTGATCAAGTAGTTGCTTATCCAAAACAGTGACCTTAAATGGGATTGAAACACAATGTTTGAGGTCCACGTGATAATGTCACACAGACCATTCAGTGGGTTCGACCTTTAGCTCTTTGGTGCGACTCATCCTCTCTTTCTCTACCTCCCTTTCATATCTCAAGCTGTCCTGCATTACCACATTGGATGGTTTCAGCCTCTCAAACGAGAGGTTTTACAAGGTTTTTTCTTGTTTCTTGTTTTCATAGTAAACTCAATATCTCTGTTGGTCTGACAAAAAAAAAAGCAATTTGCAGATGTTACCTTGGGCTTTTTTTTCTGATGTTGTATGGACCAACGGATGAATCAGTTATTTGAGAGATGATGAAAAAAATCGTTAGTTGCAGCCCTATACTTCCCTTTGATATTTTAATGCTGGGAGTTCGATGCAGACGAGTATTGACTTCATTCTTGCTTCTGGCCTAATATTAAAGATTTGTTGTCCTGGGTGACTTCAGCAGTGGGGTTTCTCTTGAGTGACTTGTTTTCAAACTCACTGGAAGCTTCGAGAACTCTATATAAGATATTAATGAATGTTCACAGAATATTTCACAAATGTATTTAGTGACCTATATTTAAAGGGCTATCCACAAAAAAATATTTTCAATGCACACAAAAATATTATATATAAATGTAAATCAATCCACATATTTAAAAAATGTTTTTGGGGGCTTTTATTGCCTCTAATCGATAGTGACAGCTGAAGAGCGACAGGAATGGAGGGAGCGAGAGAGATGGGATAACGCACAGCAAAGGGACACAGGCTGGAGTCGAACTCATTAAACTGGGGCTCGTGAGGAATTATTAATTTTATTCCATCATCATTTTTAATTACCTAGACCGGTGCCAGGTGGAAAAAAAGGTTAAATTTGACCACTTTATTTATCAAGGCACACAGGTAATTTCAATGTTGATGTTTTATTCTGTATTGTTGCTGAGTATCTCTCCATCGTGGACTGACTGTGGTTTCTTGAGATGTTTCTGATGACATTGTTGCACACAAAACAGAAAAGACCTATACGGATGGTAAATGGCTGATTATCATGACTCAGCAAACCTATTATTTAGGAACTCACATGCTCTCAAATTTACAGATTTGGTGATTTGACTATAAAATGGCACAAATTCATGTATAAAGTAAAAACTAAGATGCTTCCAGGCTATATCCAGAGGGTGTTGCAAATTAGAGTGAGTCAATATGAACGAAAAGGAATTTGCATGTTTACAAAAACAAATGCAAAACAAACAATGTTTAGCAGTTAAAGGAGTTCATTTGTGGAGTAAGGTCCTCAAGTTATATAACTTGAAAGGACTGAAATAAACTAAACCAAACCAAAGGGGTGGAACCGACTATGGTGATAAAGTCACGACAAGCTCCGTTATTATTATTATTATTATTATTATTATTATTATTATTATTAAGGGATATGATATGATCCAGGTTATATTCCTTATGTGCTTATGTGTTTTGCATTTAAGTGAAAGTCGATATTCTATTGAATTGATGAATTGTCTGTTGCTGATACATATTGCTGTTGTTTTGGTGCCATGGCCTACCTTGAACCTGCACTTACAATCCGATTGTCATGTGTGAACCTCACTGCATTTGTGTGTGGGTGTTTTTGGAGACTCCCATGGCTCGATTCAAAAGGGAATTATCTGTAGCATATCAGACGTCTCGACATCATTAATATTGAGGCCCATCTGATTCCACAGAAGTCCATTATATACAAGGGGTATCGAATTAATTCACTTGGTCTATCTGCTATCTCTACAGTTGTAGAAACCACAACCAAGTGGCAGAAGGCACAAATATGTTTGTTTCTGTTGTACGTAGGCACAGCCTGTTCTGTCCACATCTCAACTGTCTGACTGACCTTATAAGAGAGTATGTTTTACATTAAGTGGAAGAAGGCTAGAGAGAAAGAGGTCACATCACACTCCTATCTACAGCCATCACCATAACCCCTCCCCCTCCCCCTCCATCCATCCATCCACCCCCTCCTCCTGACTCTGGTCCTGCTCCAGCACTTAACAAGGATTTAATGTTGTCCAATCATCTGTCAGGCAGATCAGGGCTGTAATACACAGCAGCAGGTCCCAAGGATGAGGTCACAACCCGATACAGAAGTCCTGAAAAACAACAGCCGAAAAAGCAGCATAATCCCACAATCACTGTAATAACTCTCCCTGCTCGCACACACACACACAAAGTGCTCTGGCAAATGAAAATCTGATGTTTATGAGTTAGGAGAGTACATGAAGTAATCCAGGGTCTATCTGGACATTTGTGTACATTGTTAGATGGATCATTCATGAAATAGCAACTGGTGGTTTCCAACCCATTAACAATATGCTGGTGCTGCTGACAGTAGAGCTCGGGCTTACACGCTAATCCTCTTCCTAAAGCTTTTATTCAGTAACTCATGATAGGAAGCTACGTTTAGATACTGTGACACTAAAAAGACACCAAGGTCATGTGGATGTCAGATATGACAGCTTTCACTCCCACAGTCAGTTACAGCTAATAAACCAGGTACTCGGGGTGTGTTTATTTGTTTGATATAAAAAGCTTTGAGCCACACCTTGTATCTTTCATTTTAAGAGTCCTGCCAACACGTCTTTATTCACTTCAGTGTTGGGGAGACAAGCACACGTTTTTGTCTTGTAGATGCTCCCGGAAGTTGTAACTTTTATCCTCGAAATGGTTAATCTAAGAGAGGGATAATTTTATAAATGAGAATATCTTGCCAAATACTGATTTTTAATATGTGATATTTAGCCAAGGTAGAGTTCCAAGATTGGAGAAAATAGGATTTGTGAATAATTTATGGTTTCTTTATTGGCCCAAGTTGTAATCTAGCATGTCTGTTAATCATCTATCAGGTTGGACAGGCAGCAGCAGAAGTGTGGATCAGTTATTACTGTTGGCACCTGCGTACAGCTCTGCCAACATTTATACATTATTGAATAATTCATATACAAACAAAATCAGCCTTTAATTTGGCCTCTGCAGTTTATTGCATCTTTTATCGGTACTGAAATCAGGCTGCAACTGAAGATTATTTAAACTTTATTGTTTATTATCGTTATTTTATCAATTAATTGTGTGTAAAATGTCAGAATATTGTGAATGAAAATGCACAAAATCCAAGATGATGGTATCAAATTGCTTGTTTGTTCAACCAAACCTAAATATATTCTGTTTACAATCATATTAGATAAAGAAAATCAGATCAGTGTATAATCACCTGAATATAGGAATCATTCTGTTTTTGGTAATGAGCCTTTTATATCTACAGATACTGCAGGTTGCTTTACATAGAGTCTGCCATGTTGAACTGCCNNNGTAGCCCAGAAGGGACAAACCACTCGCTCTAGATAGGGGTGCACATTTTCCACCACTGCTATCCTGCCCATGTCTCTGGTTTTTCAAAACAAGAGCAAATGTATTAAGCTCCAGAAAACCTTGCATTTCTATATTTCTATTCTGTAAAGATGTTTTTGCCCTATATTACATAATTCAGTACCGCTTTGGTGTGAATATAAACACAAGCAGTGAGTCAAAAAGTGAGTCAAAACAGTAAATTCCCAACACATCACTGTAAACCCACCACTTGTGCTCCTCCTGCTCTGTATATAAACCACAGGGAAACCCCATCTGAGCATTAGAGACACACTCAGCTGGAGATTACTGAGACAGACGGCAGCAGACATCAAGAAGACACAGCAGCTGTAAATGTCGCTCCGGGATTTAACAACCAAATGTTTCTGCTGTGCCCCAATTGAACTTTTTAATGCGGGATTCACGTCTTAGCATCAGACTTTCATCTGCTCTTATTGAGGGTGCAGTGATTTACTGTTGAGAGCAACTTAGTGTCCTTTTGAAATCAGTTTATGCAGACACAAAAGGACATTTAAGTATTAAGCGCATAGGAAAGTGTAAAAGCGTCTTTTAAAGGAGACTTTTTGGAGGTGTTTTTGTTAAAGCAGCACCTTTAAATAAGGTTTAATCCCACCGCTGTCGGGTAATCCAGCCTAATTCAGTTTAATTTGCCGGCACCATGCTCTCCACTGTCCGCCGACACAGCCTCCGCCTGCAGACCGAGCTCCACCGGTGGAGCATCTGCGACCCCGGCAGTCACCTGCTGCCGGACAGCTTCCTGACCCGGGTCCCCGCCTGCATCTCCCGCTCCAAGTCCTGCACCAGCTCCGCCGGGGAGTCGGACGGGAGCCGCGGGAGCTGGTCGTCCTCAGACTCGGTCATCTCCACCGACTCCGCCGGGGATTCGGCCGAGCCCGGGAGCCCGTACCGGGTGGTGCTGTTAGGGGCCAGCGGGGTCGGAAAGACCGCCTTCGCCAGCATCTTCGCCGGAGCAGCGGACAGCATGGACAGCGATGACTGCGAGCTGTGTGAAGGTAAGAAAAATATTTAAAAAAAACTATACAGAAACTTTTTATAATGCTATTATTGATCAGATCTGTTTCATGTTTAGAATAAATCTTAGATGGATACAAACAAAAATCTGAAAAGGTCATTCTAATCTCAGTATTGAGCACCATACACGTTTTAATTTCCTATAATATTATTATTATTTTTATATTATAATGTCCAACACATTGCTGTCAACAAAAGGAGAATATAAGTCTATGATTTTACTAATGTAAATCTGTTTGTTGTTTGTATAATTTCAGTTGAAATGTGTGAAAAGGAAATTGAAGTGGATGGAGAGCCTGCAACTCTAACTGTGCTTGACTCATGGGATGCAGAGGTGAGACAAAAAACAGAGCAGTGATTTCACCTTAGCCTAAATGCCAGCACACACACACACACACACACACCATACTGTAAGTCCTGTATCTGACTGTGTGTGTTTGTCTTTGCAGACCGACAACGAATGGGCTCAGGAGTGCTACATGCAGACAGGTGATGCCTACCTGTTGCTGTACTCTGTGACTGACCGGGCCTCGTTCCTGCGAGCCTCAGAGCTCCGGATAACCCTACGTCGCTTCCGTCCTGCCCAGCACACACCAATCATCCTGGTGGGGAACAAATGTGACCTGGTGCGACGCAGAGAAGTGTCAGTCAGTGGTGAGGGGACCTATTTACTGCCAATGGAGGGGACACAGTCCTCTGTTTGTACTATTTACTGTGAGGTTTCCTTCCCTTATGAAAGTACTGATGATTGACTTTCTGTTTCAGAGGGCCGTGCCTGTGCTGCTGTGTTTGACTGCAAGTTTATCGAAACCTCAGCCGCCATGCAGCACAACGTCTGGGAGGCTTTCCACGGCATAGTGCGACAGCTGCGTCTACGCCGTGACTCCAAGCAAGCCAACAAGCGTCGCAGGCACATAAGCTGTAACACACGCCGCGAGAGCCTTCCAATGAAGGCCAAACGTTTCCTCGACAAGGTGGTGGCAAAGAACAATCCCAGTGTGGCGTTCTGGTTAAAATCTAAGTCCTGCCATGATCTCTCTGTGCTGTAGGGGCCCCTGGCAGATCTACACTAAACCTTTGAGCAGGTGAACAAGTTACAGCCTGGAGGATGTGGACATGGGCTGGAGGGAAGCCTGCTTCTACAGGGCTAAAGGTTGGATGGTTCAAACCTAGTCCTCAGTGGTTCACATCCACCCTCGGCACAGCCAGCACAGTGTACACGAGAGTCACCATTATGTTGCAGTCTGAACTAGACTGAGAGGACTGGGCTCAGTTTGTCAGCCTACGAAATGGACTAGAAATGAAGTTCCTGTTGCAAAGACTCATGTTTGAGTGGCCTAAATGTTGGAGGTTAGAGCTCAGCTGGTGGGAACTGACAGAAGGATGTGATGTTCATTTCTGTGTTTTGAACAAAGAAATAAATACTAGCATTTTCTCTCCTTTCTTCTCTCATCTCTTTTGCTCTCATCCCTGCCAAACGTGTCGTCTGTCGATCCCTAAAGTGCTAACATTACCAGGTGTAAGCTATTGATGAAGGTCATTTTGGTATGATGGTTATTTAGTCGTTACTTTGAATTTCTTCATAATGTGTTGTGTTTTGAACTTACTGTAAATAAATACCAGATTTATGTATTTTGCTACTTGTATGCAGTTTCAGTGTTGCCTATTGAAATAAAGTGACATCATGCAATTTTGATTAAAAAAAAAAAACTCTCCTATTTGTCTGTCATCTCAACCTTACTAATGAGATGTTACCATGGATGACTCAGCTTTGACACAAAAGAGACACACTTACACAAACAGGGTTTAACAGCAACACAACTGAGCTGATAAAAGATGAGTCAGGTGCTGACATTAAAGCTGAACTTTCAGAAACAAAATTAGTCTAATGTGCGTATGTGTGTGTGTGTGTTTGTGTGTGTGTCAGCTGACTGAACAAAGTGATTTGACTGATCAGAGATTCGGGTCACAGTGTGACACTGAACATAATGCTCAGACACCGCCTGCTCGGATCCCAAACTCAGTTTTGTCAGAAAATGCAGGGAAATGTGTTGCCAAGGTAACATTCAAAGGAGCCTAGGAAGTGTGTGTGTGTGTTTTGTATGTTCAGTCCAGGGAGTGTCAGGCAGATGGTGTTGGTGCATGTTGGACAGAATATCTATCAGGATCCAGGCAGATACATGGACCCATGCTTTACATAACAGAGTCACTTCCATCTGAATTAACGGCTTCATTCGCTGAACCATCAACACTGCAGTCACAGGTTCTGGTTAAATAGCCGTCCTGTGAAACTGACTCACAGCCCGCTTTTCATACAGTTGCAGATTCGCACAAATCTCTGCCTTGTTTCCGAGCAGCTTTCTACAGCCTGTAAAGCTCACTGCTTTGATAGTGTGTGCATCAGGATGTATGGAAGATAATCCCAGATACATGTGAGGTTGGGTCATAAAGGATAACACTCAGTGACAACACTGACATCCTCTCTTAAGGTCACCTTTAATGCATTTCTGTTGCATTCATTTATACACTTTTAGAAGTTTAGACAGGACCGAGATCACAAGCTGGAATCAAACCCTATTTAACAATTTAATGATTTGTGCCTTGAGCTGCTGAAGCACCCAGATGACCCCGTAACTTTGCATTCTTATGAGGCAATGGATTGTCAGTGTAATCTGTTAGTCTATTGTCTACACACAACTCCTTATCAGGCACTGCTACTAATGGAAAAAGCTGACAGGAAACAGTGCAGAGGTGTGTAGGTCAAAGTCTGAGGAGAAAATTAGAAACTTCAACGCTGAATAGTAGATTTCTAGAGAAACATCACACAGTATAAAACCCAGTTTGTTCAAACCTTTATCTTTCTTTGTTACTAATTCACACACATGCATTATAAAAAAGTACACATTTAGACTAAGACTGTGAGATTTCTTCAACCAGTTTGTTTTTTGCAACTATAACCCACTAACAGAACTCACAACTATAAGCATTTGAGGATTCATGTAAAATCAGTGACTGATATTAGGTACAATATTAATGGCTTTGTCTTTCACAATATCATATGTATCATTGTTCTGTTCTTCCTGTCTCCTTCCTCGCTCTTTGTCAGCTACCTTCCCATTGGCTGTCTCGACATGAGGGCAGGGTGATTAGACAATCATTAGATCCAATAAAACATAGCTGGTTAGCACCTGGTTAACGTTTGACCAGACAGGATGGGGCTGCTCAGATCACTCTGAAGTCTAAGGAGTGACTCGCTCAGTCTCCCCAGCAAGGTAAGTCTGCTCACTCTCCTGTCGCCCAGTTTTGGAAATGTCAAGTATTTGGAGTATATTTTGAGGGTGAGAATGGGACACAAACTGGACCGCCTCTGTTGGTTTTAACAGGTTGTGTTTGATGTGTCAGATGCTTTCGGTTTGTTAAAAAAGTGCTGTGATCTTGACTTGACTTTGGTAGGGCCTTGGTGTTAGGTGTTGGCATGTCTGAAAACCAATCTCTCCATCTTGTGGCTTCTTGGGTTGTGTCGGTGCCTGGCTTTGTGGGGATATTGCTTGTATGGTACACTAGATTTACTATCATAGCAGCTGAAATTCATTCAGTCATTATGATAAAAAGGAGGAAGAGAAGGCCTGCAACACCCAAATCATTGTATAACTTTACCACCTCGACCATCAAACCTGCAGTAAATAATTAAATTATTTTCCTCACTAGGAGTCATCTACTTAATTCTGGGTTAGTAAAAACAAAGCCAGTCAGCAGAGGTAGTGGTCAACACGGAGACAGAAATACTAATAATTGGCAGACAACAAATTCAGGCAACTAATTAATAACTAGTAAAGTAAAATTTAAAATCTGTTAATAAGGAGTGTAGCAACCGGCGGGCAGTGAAGTGTTGTGCTTCAAAAAGGTCATTAGCCACGACTCAATGTCACCTTCACTTTTCTGTGGCGGCTGACTTCACCCTTCTCTCTTACTGCACTTTATGAGTCCAGCACTCTTAAATTTGATAATGTATCAACGCATTCTCTGATATATTTGATAGTTTCATGTATGTTAAGTTTTTTCCATTGTTATCCAAAGCAGTGTCATACTAATGTTAACTCAAACAACACTGTACATATATTCTGCTGTCGTCTGAGTTTATAACCTCTTTGAGACGCATTGAAGATACCGTGGCAGAGCAGCGTCAAAGTGTCTGACACATGAAATTACCAGTTAATCTTCCATATGTCATTTTTGGATGTCAGAGAGACAGTACATGTGTTAGTTATCAATCTTTTTAAACACATATACAAACGCACAATTAAGGCTGTTATGTTATTCTGCACTCTGACTGCCGTAAACTCACTGAGGTTACACACTTAGACCTGCGTCAAATAGACACCCACTGTGAAAAGTTGGCTTGTAAAGAAAATCTGGTGTTGCATGTAAGCTCTGACTTTCAGTTTCTGCTGTACCCTGAGGTGGGTGGGTCACCCGGTTGTGTAGGTGGAGCCGCACATAGAAGGACTTTAAGCTCCCATTTCGCTCAAAGTATGAGGCCAAGAGAGATAGCATGCACGTGTGGACACTCAAGGACAGAGGACATATTTTCCTGTCTTTATGAATCAATAACCCATTGCCAACAGAGAAAGTAATGTTCTGAGGTACACTGGGTTTAATTGTTTCTAGATGGATTGAGTAACAATTATCAGTTTTCGTTATTTCTACATGATATTTGGATTTAAAAGCAGAACACAGTGAATAATATGCTTTCTAGAAATTTGAATGTGTAATTTAAATCCTCTTCATGTCACCTCTCTGCCTCCTCAACCTCCTGCTTTCTCCTTCACCATTTCATCTAACTCCTTTCCCCATGTCTCCTCCTCCTCCTCCTCCTCTTCCTCCCAGACTATGATCATGACACCCATGGTGCATCTGTTGTTGCTCCCACTCCTGTTCAGCATTGTGAGTACATCGCACTACCAACTGCTGCCTCAGTCTTTCAGTACATATTCACAGTACTCAAAATACATGAACCTGTTTAAACAATCAGTGTGGTTTAATGCGTAGATTTATTCATGTACAATTTATAGAAACTGTTTTGGTTCATGGGAAGTGAATGCATACAGGCTTTTTTTATGATAATTGATGTCCCCTGTGCAAAGAAAATGGCAATAACTGTCTGCAAGGTTAAAGAAGTGGAGGAAAACCTTTGGTAACTCATTTAAAACACTGAACTAAGATGGAAAGTGTTACTAAACTGAGCATTAGTCCTTTGTCTGTAGACTTTGCTCTCTTGTCCGGCAGTGGGATATAAGAATTCCCATTGTCGTGTCATTTTGGTTCAATAAATAACTGGGCTATAAAAACCTGCCCTCAATGCCTGACTACATTCTACTACAGTACGGAGCTAAAGCAAAAAGGGCAAATGTGGGCGTGAGTGTGACGGGTTCAATTCTACCTCAGCCTGTACTATATTCATTGACCTTTGACCTCTGTTTCTGTGCTCTGACAGGCTGGTGGGAAGGATCTAGAGGAAAAGAAGGGCCTTTTTAAGGACACAGAGCTGCATGTGCCAGAGGGGACACCAGTGCCATATCCCATTCATCAGGTATTACACACAAGCAAGAACATTCACTCAAGTACTGTACTTCAGTACAATTTTGAGGTACTTTGAGGAAAATATTTTACTTTTTACTGACAGCTTTAGTTACTTTTCAGGTTAAGATTTTATTTAAAAAAACATTATAAGCTTTTAAAATAGAATCTACTTGAGGCTCCTTGTCACAGGTTTCAGATATTTATGAGTTGATTGCAGTTCTGCCAAAGGGAGATTTCCCTTCTAAACATCTCACATGGTTTCCTTATAATAATTGTTGTTGAGTCTGAAAGAGGAAAAATTGAAGATTAAAGTAAAGTTTTAAAAATGAATTCAAACTTTTTCCACTCCCATTAATCATCTCACGATCCCTCAGATGTATCTTGTGATAACTAGGTTTGGAAGCACTGTTAGTTTTGTTTATTATCCTTTTGTAAATTCCCTTTGTGTTTAATTTGAACTAAACTAACTATATATAAAGTAGTTAAAACTAGCTGCACCTGGACAACAGTAAAATACTTTGTAGTCATTGATGCATCAGTATTAAAGATCTGATCATGTAAAATATGATACTTTATTAGTCACAGGGGCTTTGACTTGTTATACATTTTATTGAGAATACTTATGTACTTTTACTTAAGTAGCAGTTTGAATGCAGGACTTTTACTTGTAATAGAGTAT